CGAGCTGTAGAGTGCGGCGATTGTTGCGCCCTTCTCGACATTTCTCCACGTCGTTACTGTGCAACGTTCCGCGGCTGCCGTCGCTGCTGAGGACTCGAGCCAACAGATCCGTGGGAGGACGCTTAGCTTCATGACTTCCTTATGAGCATACACCCCACTTGTGGCTTGACCTCGCTTACTGTCGCATGTGACTTTACTTGTCCCTGGACACCTGCAGACTGCACAATCCGCGTGCAACCGAAGTCCCACAAAATCGTAATCTGAGCAGGAATCCTGCAAAAGGTCGGATCAGATCTTGGTGGAGTTAACTCATGTCACGTTGACCAGGCTCTGTGGCTGCAATGTTTCCTGCACAGTAGGTCTGTTTGATGAGCTGCAAGGCTTATTCAGCCGACAACAGGAGCCAGACAAGCAAACACTGAGAGCACCAGCAGTCGCTATCACCATAGTCATCATCAGCATCATCAGCATTATCACTATTTTGATCAGCACCAGCCAATATCCTGTAGCCATCCACCCTTTACTCTCTGCATCCGTTCGCGTAGGATCCGTCGATGGCCGACCAGCGGGCCGCGAAGCGTGTCATGGTGCCTTCGAGGGTTTGATCTCTGTTTGGACTGCTTTGAGGGGTGGATGGCCTCGAAGCTTCGAGGCTGTGGAGGCTCTAATGCTTCTCATTGAGGCACCTTTCGTGAAGAAAACATCCTTAAGCCACACCGGCACGAGTCGACAACCCCGATCACTCTCGACCAACTCACTCCCGAACCCTTTCCTGCCCAAGTGCCAAGCAACGAGCCAGGCCGAGTACCTCCAAGTGCTGGAGGAGACACGGCGGGACCTCTGCTTGTCAGAGGCGGCCTGGCACTGTTCTTTCAGTATCTCCAATGATATAAGTGGTCCGAGGCGCTTAAGAAGCGTTGCTGAGAAATTAGGATGATGCAGCATAGTGGGTTCATACCGTACTGGAGTTCATACCGCACAATAGTAATATGAAGATCCGCCTGGAACGATCTCGTGAGCATCCGTGGTCAGCGGCACGACTCGAGCATGGGTCCATGCTGCTTTGAAGCACAGTTCGTTCTCAGTGCTTTGCGACGAACTGTCAGGACCGGCATCAGTTCACGTGCCTCCACTACGCGGTGCGAGACGCCTATGCTGGCTGCTTTCAGGTACTCAAGCAGCTGCCTCAGATATCTCGGGGGCATTTTGCAGAGCATGCACTTGTTGAGCTCTCATCGCGCCCCGGAGCTCGCCCAATTGGGGGCCCACCTTCCTTCGAACTTCTTTTCAGCACTTCCTTTGAGGCTTCTCCTCGGCAGTTTCTTTGAGTTTCCACGGACACGGCCTCAGGGACTCGAAGAGGGAAGCTCGGGGCCCATGCCTGGGGGGTTCCGGCATGGTGTGGCCTGCATGGAGGGGACGGGAGACGGACTCCATCATGACGAAGAAGCTCTTCGAGATTCAGCCAGGGTGGGGAGCTGCTGCAAGGTGAGCCGCTCTGCAGCGAATGTCTCGCAGCAGCAGGCCCGGACTCTTGAAGCTTCTTTCCGGATTTCTCCTGGAAGAGGAGGCTCCTGGGTGCTTGGCTCGGGTTCGCACAGCCGTGGTATCTGATCCGAAGCAGCTGGCCCGCAAGAGACTGAACCCATGCGCTTCAATTCAATCTGTTTTGTACATCGCTCGATCCTTTCTGGCTCGTAGCCATCCGGCTCGGGGATCCCGCCTAGCCAGCCTTCCGCTGAGCCGACTCAGGCGTGCCGCCCGATAGTCGTGTGTCAGGGAAGTGATGAAGAGGTCCTTTTGGGTGAGAAGCATTTGACCTAATCATGCACCGTTTGTCGTGGCCTGGACTCTCAATAATCACTCTTATTGTAGGAGTGCTTGCTGTCACTACTGGCCGCATCAAAAGAAGGTGAATTGAGAGACAAATCGTGATACAATTCCGTACACGACCAACCCCGTCGTGGCCCGTCATACGATCTTATCCCCTTGAGAAATTGCGGATTCAGCCAGGAGTTGAGAAGCGATGGGCAAGACGCGCGTGATCTCGAAAGGTTACCGCCACGGAACTCGCGACAAGCAGCTTGCTGAAGAGCGTTGCCGGGCCCAGGCTTTCAACCTGACCTGCAACAGTCGGCAAAGCAAATGCTAGATGCAGACCGCTTGCCGTCGAAGTTTGCAGTGAAGCTAGCGTACGACTTGAGATCTAGGGATTTGCTGGAAGTTGAAAGTCAGGAAGCCCAAAAACGATGTGCCGTAGAAAGATCTTTGCTGTCCGTCGTTTTGAACTGACCTGGACTCGAATGACTCTCTGTCGCATGCCGAGGTATTCCAAGAAGTACCGCACGAAGGGCAGGTGGCTGATTGCACGAAACATTCATTTGGTCTCAGTCATGTTTATGTTTCCATTGTCTTCCAGTCCTTCATAGCCACGTGCAGACCTGGCATCGCTCGCTACCTCGTCAACTTCAAGCGCGGAGACTACGTCGACATCGTGGCTGATCCCTCCATCCAGAAAGGTCGAGCATAGGCGTCTGGTCGAAGCTGTGACTCGTGCTCCTGACAGGATTGCCCTACTCTCTCTATCATGGACGCACTGGCATCGTCTTCAACGTGAACCGCAATGCCCTGGGCAACGGCCTCTAGAGAGCCGTGGTCGCAGCAAGTTGAAGCTCCCATACTGAAACTGAGGCGTGGAAATCACCAAGGTGGTTGGCAACCGCCAGCTGCGCAAGCGACTCCACGTGCCGGACCCTCAGGTTGAGCATGCTGAGCACAGGTTCGCGGGTTTAGCGGTGTCGCAGAATTCGGCATCTGCAGGAAGGGACCAAGAAGCCCTTTGCCGTAGCGGATGTAGCAGATCACTAAGTGATAGAGGCTGCCGGGGTGATGGACGTTTGTTGATCCAGGCGCATCGAGCACGTGCGCAAGTCTCGCTGCAACGAGGCCGCTCTTTCAAATCGCCACTTGCTCTCTAGCACTCGTCTAGGACTCGTCTGGCACCCCACCGGAGTGCTTGGACTGGCTCCTCTCTGTTTGCTGCTCTGCGAGCTTGCACAAGAGCATGTAGACTTAGACGTGCGAGTCACCACACCTCCAGCTTGGCCACTTGCAGCAATTGCCGGGCTGCATTTTCAGGCCTTCAAGAAGATGGTCAAGGAGAATGACCGCAAGAAGCAGCAGGCGCAGCTCTTCCGGTCTTCCAGTGCCGCGACGTTGCATTTCTCAAGGCCAAGCTGGAGGGCAAGTCCATCGTGGTGAAGCGCCAACCAGAGGGGTGCTGGGCTCTGCAATTTACCGCACGAGCAGCAGCACAAAACCCGGACGCCATCAAACCCACAAGGAGGGTGTTGTGCAGGCCCAAACCGAAGAAGATGGTCGAGGCCAACCCGGATGAGATTGAGGCATCGCGCGCGAATCCAGCTGAAGCGACGAATAAGAAGAGGCCCTGTTTTGTCGGAAAAGGTCCTGGCGCCCCTCCCGTTCGTGGAGAATTACTTCTGAGGGCAGAGACCATTGGCCGGCCTTGATGGAGAAAGCTCAAACTTGCTGAACGGTGAAGAACTGTGCCATGTTTGGGCATGCACATGCCATCACATGCCCTTGGACTTGGACTTGCTTTGCAGGTTGCTGCCATTGCCCATCAGCACGTCAAGCGGCCGCAGAGACAGACTGACAGGAGTCACAATCAGTGATTCCTGGCACACTGAGCGTCCCAGGTCACAAGATCTGTTGTTGCAGATCACGAACCACCGCGATGTCCAAGGCTCGTTGAACACGTTAGCAGCTAGCAGCTGTTTGGCCGAGTTCGGAGCCCGGATCCCTTGGCAGTGGCAGAGGCCTGACACCTCTCCACCACGCTTCGGCCTTGGGGAACTACCGAGCTGTTCAGGCCCCAAGCTCCCAACAGCCCTTGCAACTGTATCCTTACTGCAGCTGTCTTCGCTTTTGCAGGTGCTCATTGCGAACGGTGCTGACAGACTGGCAAAGGCGGCGTTTCTCGATGTGACTGCGACTTAGACACTTTACCGATTCATGGTCATGTGCGTGCTCGTGGAGGAAAGCGCTTTGGGTTTTGGGATTCTTTCATCATGCCTATTAGCCGGCTCCTACCGGTCACTGGCCGCAGGCCGTTCTGCCCGACGCAAACGGCAAGGAGGCATTGCTGGGTTGATGGACCCAGGAGTGGAAGGGTCGTAGAGACGGGCTCCATGAAATGCCCTCAGGCCACAGCCACGAGGCCACCCTCCAGTGCCACGCCCCTCGACCTCGCCAAGGCTTTTCTCAGAAACTCAGCCGAATTCGGCATTCCCCTGGTCCGCATCAGGACGCTACGACGGCCCAAGCACTCTCGGCGGGCGCAGGTACCCGAAAAGTACACACTGCAGCCAAGAGTAGCTCGTGCAAATGCGCTCGGACAGTTGAAGAGACGGTGGAGAGCCTCCAATCCGCGGTGGCCCCGGCGTTCGGAGCATCTAAGATTCTAAGATCCTAAAAACATCTCCAGAGGGTTTTCTTACATTGGTCCTCGGTGCGAACATCTCAGGCTCAGAAGGTCAACGAGCCTTGACCCTGGTGGGATGATGCCACGTCAGCCACGTGTTCTGCAGCACAACCTGCCGAGTGGGTTTCAGAAGTACGAGTGGCGAAATTGAAGACACGGCTTTCGAGGGATTGCTCGCAGAGAATTGAGTTAGACGGAAGTGTCCAAAAGCGGAAAAGCACCCTACAGTGATTCTTCATGAAGGCAGTTGCTCGGATCATGCCGCAACTATTTGGCTTAAGACATGCCAAGAGCCAATCGACGCAACGCCCTTGGTGCGTTGCGCTGTGGACTCAGCGTTGAAAGGGAATCACTCAGGCTACCAAGGACCCAAAAGCAGCCACCAGAGCACTCACCAAGGTCAAGGCACCTTCGGGGGCAGTCCGTTGCGGACATGCCGTACATCACCATGTGTCAAGGCCAGTGCACCATGGTGACAACAACTCAGCTGATTTGAGCCGGATACACAGGCCCAAAATGCACTGCAAACGGTGCAGGGCTGATTATCAGGCAGGGTCACCTCAGCGCAGCTACGAGCCCTGCAGAATGCAGAGATATGCAGAGTCGGGAGAATCACGGTCAGCACCCTGAAGGGATATGGAAGACCTGGCTTTCGGCTGCGCGACAGTCGAAGCTTCAGGCGCATGACAGCCCATGGCACCTTAAGTAGACTTGAAGTAGCGCTCACGCTCAGAAGCTAACGGGAGGAAGGCTTCTGGGCAGAAGGACCTGAGAACACCGGGAGTCTTGAACTTTGACTCCCAAGTCCCTGATACTGATCTGCAGGTTGTATGGGTCAATGCTCCAAGGGACCTAACGGAATGTACTCCGCCGCTCGGCTGAGCAACCGCTGAGCAACAGCGAAACCAGGGGGCTTTTCCGTTGCGCTCCCTCGGGCAGGGGGTGCTTGCACTGTCAGGAGGCTAAGCCGCTCTTTCCCAATTTGCACCGCTTGAAAGATCCGAGGAGAAGTCAGGAGCAAAAGGAAAGATCACCAACAAGCTGAACAAGTACAGCTGCTTTGATGCAAGGAGCAAGGCTGTATGTCGTAGCGCTCCTTTGCAGCAGAGTGTCTTCGTCGTAGTGTTCCCTTCCGTCGGTTCTCGTTTTGTCTTTGCCCGGCTCCCCTGCTAGCCCACCAATCTGCGACAGGGCAAGATTTGCAAGAATTCGAGTCGCCGGAGCCGTCGATCGGGTCTGGCAGGAAAGCGTGACCTGTTACTGGCCAAGGCAAGCTGACTGACATGATCGGCGAGTTCATCCAAGGCAAGTCTCCTGCAAATGCCGCTGCCGTAATGACGAAGCCCTTGAAGATCTCGTGTCAGTTCCCAATGCAGGCTTTGCTTTGGATGACATGCAAGCCCGAGCCGGCACCTGAGAGACATTCGAGCAACAGCCAACCCGATGTCTCTGAAACGTGTTTTTCCTCAGACTGCTGGCCTGGCCTGGTTCTGTCATCATGACTGGCTGCTTCGTGCAATCAGGTTCATCGAGTGAAGTTTGCGATACGGCGGGAGGAGAACGCCGAAGTCCGGACGAGTGCGATAGAAGAGACTTTGCATGCTGTCTGCAAGACTACAGAGCTGCTCAACCTCATAACCAGCTTCACACTGTGAACCTCTCATCCTATCAGGGGCTCCATCGATGACTCGCAGCGCGCTCTACATCCGGAGCTTGTAGCCCAGCTGCTGTGCCTCCGGGCACGGGAGAATCTGAAGGCAAGATCCCGGACCCCAAGTATCCCAAAGCAGGGCTCTCTTTGTAAGTCTAGAACAGGCTAGTTTGCCCAGTACTTGGCTCGTGCCGTGGTTCCGTTGCGAGACCAGCCTTCGGCCCTGGAAAGGCGGATGCCGTCGGGGCCTACAAGGACCTTCGGGAAGCCCTGGAGCCTTGGCTTCACAGAAGCCAAGACTTCGATGTGGGAAGCCTGCCCGGCCACCAAGACTTTGCATCCGGACTGGCCGTGGGCCTTCGTGACCTTGGCGCAGGCGGTTGAGCCGAGCTGTTTGCTGGCGTTCGAGCGTTGCAGCTCCGTTTCCAGGTCTTGGACAACCTGCATATGCCCCGAGGGGCAGCCTGAGCTGCAGTTATGTTGAACGGATCAAGGGTCAAGGAGTCATTGACTCAAGGGCTCCGGGAAGTTCGGGACTCGCTGATTCCTTGTTGCCTTGCCTTTGGATGTCTTCGTGCATCTTACTCTGCTTTCATTCTGTCTGCATCAAAGA